CAGAGATACTTTTGTAAATCGTGGTAGGGTCATCATGGAATCACCCATACCTGTTACTCGAGATTTGGTTCCTGACGGACATGTGTGATTTCCAGAAAATTTCAGCCAAATATGATGAAGTCTCTTTCGAATTCTCTTATTGGGAAAAATCTCCGGTTCCTACAAGATCTGATTACTGGAAATATCGACGTGTGTACACACAAGCTCAGATGTGTAGTTTTTACAGACTGATTGAGATAGTTAGTGTTTGTTTTGATTAAAAAGTTTCATTTTATTAGCTGAATCACAATTCTTGATGACGATAAGAACAGTTTCATCGTGTTTTACAGTTTAATCCCACAGAGATTATCATAAAAGATTTTTCTTCGAATAACTATTTATTCGTAGGAGTTTTCTTATAGTAGATTCTACAGTTTTGAAAATAGTTCTACCGGATTGAACATGTTTTAAAGTGGAAAAACGTAGGAATGTATGTGAGTTTAGTTGTTTCTGTGAATATTGACGTAACCGATATGCACATCCACGTTCTCATCTTGAGAGCATCAGTGTGTAGGTGCTTATTTAATGCACACAGAAAAGACAGATTGTCATCCATAAAAGAAGGCTGCTATTTACCTCTTATGATATTCTTATCTGAATAATAAAAGAGTTGACATGTTCGAACACATACCTCAATACTTATGCATCCACCAACGATAAAATTTAACATCATATTCTTCTATTATTCATCGCAGTACGTATGTCAACACAGCGCATTAATTCTGCGCAATAAAACGTACAGTAAAAACAGAGAATAATTTAGTCGGATATTTTCAGCAATTGTTGTCATATAATCAAATTTAGAAAAAAGCTCTTCCTTAGTACATGGATTCGAATGATTCAATTTGTAGTCAAAGTGAATCTTACATCATAGGAATCGATGACAAAAGTACAGTTCTTAATCTGATTCCGTCTAAGAATGATTCTCAAAGTTGCTTCTTCGAAAACTTAACTCTCGCATGGTTGGATATCAATCTTAACGAGTCTGATCAAAATTGTCAACAGTCTATTGGTGAACTTCGACGTATCGTCAACACCATAAGTATATTCACTGATCCTGATGAATGTGTAGATTTTCTCACTGATATTGAAGATACAAGTGTGTTCTTAATTGTATCGTCTGATGTTGTTCAACAATTACTTCCACTTATTCATGACATATCACAGATTGATTCAATCTATGTATTAGATGAGGCTAAGTCGACATCTGATATGTGGAGAATAATGGAATGGATAAAATTGAAAGGAATTTTTATTCAGATAACATGTTTATGTGATCAACTTGCACGAGATGTCAAAGAATATGATCGACATATGATTTCAATTAGTATGGCTCCACCAAATGATGATTACAACCAAGATTTAAATGAACTTGAACCTTCATTCATGTATTCACAACTATTCAAAGAGATTTTACTCGATATTGAATATCAGGATAATGCGAAAGAAGAATTAGTTCAACTATGGCGTGAGGAATACCATGATAATCAGTCTCAATTGAAAATTATCGATGAATTTCACCGAGATTATTATTCACATAGTGCCATCTGGTGGTATACTCGTGATACATTCACTTATTCTATGTTGAATCGAGCTCTAAGAACAATGGATATAGAACATATGATTAAGATGGGCTTTTTCTTACGCGACATTCATCGTCAAATTCAACAGTTACATGTTGAAAAAACATCATGCTTTCGAGTTCTTTTGATAGTCTATCGTGGACAAGGAATATCTAACAATGAATTCGAAAAGCTACGAGCAAGAAAAGGTGGTCTTCTGTCCTTTAACAATTTTCTATCTACCAGTACCAATCGACAAGTCTCACTTATGTGGGCCGACAGTTCTCGAGCACATTCATTATTGACAGGTGTTCTTTTTCAAATAACTATTGATGATATAACAACTATGTCGAGTCCATTTGCATCAATAAAAGACATTAGTAATTTTCCATCTGAAGAAGAAATTTTATTTTCAATGCATACCGTTTTTCGAATTGGTGATATGAAAGAGATTGAAAATCGATTATGGGAAGTTAATTTAACTTTAACAAATGATAATGATGAAGATCTTAAAATTCTCTCAGAAAGTCTTCGAAAAGAATTATTTGCATATTCACGTTGGCATCAATTAGGTCGATTGATGTATCGAATGGGAAAATTTCAACAAGCAGAACAACTCTATATGTTCATTCTCAATTCGAAACATCTCTGCAAACAAGAAGAACGTATTATTCTCTATGGTCAACTTGGATCATGTAAACAAGCAAAAAGAGAATTTAAAAGTGCTCTTGTATGCTATCAAAATGTACTTGAAATTGAAAAACAATCTCGTTCTCCAAATATTCCTAATCTAGCTATTACATACAACAACATTGGTCTCGTGTACAAACTTATGGGAGAGTATCAAAATGCATTTTTATGTTATCAAAAAGCACTTGAAACTCATCAAACATGTTCTCCTTCTTATCTTTCTCCTCTAATGACAATTTACAGAAATATTGGTGACGTATTTAAATTGATGGGAGACTATGAAAATGCACTTTGGTTCTATAAAAAGACATTAGACATTGAAAAAATTATTCATCCTCATAATCATCCTAATCTAGCTCATTCTTATAACAATATCAGTGGATTATATTACATATTGGGTGATCATGTGAAAGCACTTTTCTTTGCTGAAAAGACGTTGGAAATCTTAAAAAAATCTCTACCACTTGATCATCCACATCTAGGAGTAATTTACAACAACATGGCTTTAATGAGTAGTTATATTGGAAATCATTCAAATGCAATCGCATTCAGTGAAAAAGCTCTTGAAATAGACACAAAAATTCTATCTCCTAATGACCCTAACTTAGCCATTACTTATAATACCATAGGTAATTTATATTATAGAATGGGTAAGTATACAACAGCACTCTCATTCTGCCTAAAGTCATTAGAAATCTTCAAAAAAACATTATCTTTAAATCATCTTGACTTGGCTTCGAGCTACAACAATGTTGGTTTTCTGCATAGTGTTTTAGGAGATTATCAAAATGCATTATTGTGTTATGAAAAGGTACTGGAAATTCGACAACAGTCTCTTCCCTCCAATCATCGAGACATGGCTGCCATTTATAATAACATAGCTACTCTATATGGTCGTAAGAATGATTATTCAAGTGCACTATTATTTTATCAAAAGGCTCTCCACATACAACAACAAATATTTGGTGACAATCATCCCGATCTGGCCCAAACATACAACAATATCGGTCTAATCTATAAGCTGTTATGTGATTATTCAAAAGCAATTCTATTCTATCAAAAGGCATTGAACATCGAAGAAAACTTGCTTCTGCCAAATCATCAGAAGCTACCACTTTACTACAACAATATGGGTCTTGCGTATCAAGACATGAACGATCATTTTAATGCATTTTCTGCTCATCAGAAGGCGCTTCAAATTCAAGAAAAAACTTTACCGTCCACACATCCTGATCTAGCTAATACTTATGCGAATTTAGCCATCTTACAACGAAATATAGGTGCTTATTCGAATGCACTTTTCTATTTTCGAAAAGCACTTGAAATTCAAGAAAACTCACCCTCTAACAATTATAGGGATCTGGCCATAACATATAATGATATTGGCATTCTTTATAATGACATGGGAAAGCATTCAGATGCACTCAACTTTCTAGAGAAAGCACTTGAAATTAAACAAAAAATGCCATCTTGTAGTCCTCTCGATCTAGCTAATACCTACAACAATATTGGTACAGTACATTACAATGCTGCTGATTATTCAAAAGCACTTTCTTTCTTTCAAAAAGGACTTGAAATTAATGAAAAATATCTCCCTGCAAATCACCCAGATTTGTTCTCAATCAACACCAATATTGGTCAAATTTATAATCAAATCGGAAACTATTCAAATGCACTTTCTTTCTCGGAGAAAGCACTTCAAATATCCCTAAACCTATCGCCTTCCAATCCTCTAAATCTAGCTACAGTCTATAACAACATTGGTACCATATATGGTAATGCTGGTGACTATTCAAAAGCACTCTCTTTCTTACAAAAAGCACTTGAAATTCAAAAAACTATTCTCCCTCCCAATCACCCAGATTTGGCTACAGCTTATAACAATATTGGCAAAATCATTTTCAAAATGGGTGAATACTCGAACGCACTCTTATATCACCAAAAGGCTCTAGCAATTCGAGAAAAATCTTTACCATCAGAACATCCTCTGTTAGCTTTGTCATGGTATAACATTGGACTCGTTTACGAGAAATTAGGTGATTACTCGCATGCACTTTCGCTTTTTCAAAAAGCACATGACATAGAAGAAAAAATACTTTCTCCGTATCATCCTGATCGTGCTAGTACATATAGTGCCATCGGTTTCATACATAACAAACTAGGCGATCACTCCAATGCACTCTCATTCTATGAAAAGGCACTCGAAATTCTACAAAAATCTCATATGTCTGATGATCGACGTTCGGCCGTTGTCTACAACAACATCGGTCTCGTGCACATCAAGTTGGAAAATTACTCGCTTGCACTGTCATTTCATCAAAAGGCGCTGAAAATTCAAAAACGTTTTCTTCCCACTTCTCATTCTGATTTGGCTGAAACGTACAATAACATCGGTGTAGTACATGTAAATACAGGAGATTATACTGAAGCACTCTCATTCTATGAAAAAGCGATTGAAATTCAGCGAAATTCTCTTTCACTAAATCATCCGGATCTAGCCACAACCTACCATTACATTGGTGAAGTACATTACAAAACTAGCGATTACGCAAATGCATTAATTTTCTTTCAAAAAGCACTCGAAGTTCGACGAAAATGTCTTCCCGACTCCCATCACGGTGTTATTGAAAGTAATACAAATATAGATCTAGTTCATTCGAAGATACAAGACAATGGAAACTCGTCATAATTCTAATGAAAAACTTTTTCGTTCAAAACATATTGTACTCGAAAGAAGGGTGTGGGTGTGGGTGTTCATATGCATTTCACTCACGCCCGCACACCGACCCACACCCCATACTAGACATCGGCGTGACCAAAATGTCGTGACCAAAGAAAAAAAAAATTGTTCGATTATAATTTCAATAGTGGGTGTGAGGACCGAAACCTATTTAACTATTCTTGTTCAGAATTTTCTTCTCTTCAAAATGGTATATAAAAGTCGAAGAATCTGATGATCCATAACAGAAAAAATCATATTACATAAGTCGTGACCAATTCTGGTCACGGTCAGTCACGACTAATGTGATGCAAGTTTCTCTGTTATGGATCATCGAATTCTTCGACTTTTATATATCATTTTGAAGAGAAGAATATTCTGAACAAGAATAGTTAAATAGGTTTCGGTTCTCACATCTACTATTGAAACTATAATCGAATAACTTTTTTTTTCTTTGGTCACGACATTTTGGTCACGCCGATATCTACCCCACACCCACCCACACATTCATCAGTAATAGGATCAAATAGAAGTGAATATTATTGTGGATGTAGACCACATTCAATTATGACTTGGATTGAACATGAAAACGTCAGAGATGAACGTGCTGAAACATTTCAATCATTATTATGGCCTGGTGTGTATGAATGGAGTTATGGAATATGTGCCACATGTGCTGGAACATTTATCATTTCACCAGCTAAAGCTGAAAAAATGTATTTACCAGAAAATTTTGGTCGATGTGCAACAGAGAAAGCTATTATTAGCTAAAAAATATATATTACATGTAAAAATTCGTAGTCAGACTTCTGCATATGATTTAATACTTTTTAATGTCTTCTTTACTGATTTCATTACTAATCAACTTATCTTAAACTATTCATTTTATTATCATATTATTGAATAAACTCAATCACTTCATATTTCTATTTCAAATACTAGGGAAACAGTATTAGTAGATGTCGGACCAACACTGTGGTGCTGCTCTTAAAAAGCCCTTTTTGTCGTAGCCTAACATTTAATTATTTTTCATATACAAACAACTTTTTCCCTAAAATAACATGAAGATTTGCTTTGACTCTTGTTTTAGATTCCAAAAGCTCATTATAGCTCAAGTAATTGAAAAGTACATGATAGATCTATTATTGCCTTGATGTTGTGACTTACTAACTCAAAACAATGGTAGCTGTGCTCTAAAAGATGGTTGATTGTAGGAGACGTAATTATCTCCATGGCAATAGTGTGTATTTTGCTGAAGTTATTTTACCGTAGTAAATCAGATTTAAAATGGACTTTTTTTACTTTAGATTGAAAGTGATGTCCAAGGGGGAAAAAGCTGAATTTTTGATTTACAAGATTGACTTGATTGACAATGATTGACAAATGATTGACAATGATTGCGGTAATTGCAACCAGCTCTCCTCCCCCCCCCCCTCCCCGTGAAAATGGTTGCTTAGAGATAAGTTGAGGTGAAGAGTTCGAATTTGAGGTCCATTTGTCCCGAAATCTTATTGGTCGGTCAAGAACCAATAGAAATCGAGTTTTCAGAAAAATGATTGTCTCAAGGTAATTTGAGATGGAGAGTTCGAATTTGAGGTCCATTTGCCCCGAAATCCTATTGGTTGATGAAGAACCAATAGAAATCGAGTTTTCAGAATTGATCGACCAATAGAATTTCCAGACAAATAGACCTCAGATTCGAACTCTCCATCTCAAATTGCCTCGAAGCAACCATTTTTCTGAAAACTCGATTTCTATTGGTTCTTGACCAACTAATAGGATTTCGGGACAGATGGACCTCAAATTCGAACTCTCCACTTCAAATTACCACGAGGCAACCATTTTTCTGAAAACTCGATTTCTATTGGTTCTTGACCGACCAGTAGGATTTCGGCACAAATTGACCTCAAATTCGAACTCTCCATCTCAACTTATCTCTAGGCAACCGTTTTCAAGAAAGTGTTAGGATATATGGAGGACTTCATATTTCTTTTTTTCTTTTGTTATTATATGTTCTTACCCGTCTGACCTATTCTTCTTCACTGACGTCTTTTGTTGTAACTCTACTTGTTGTTCATTTTCAATCAGACAAAGAAACTCTCAACTTCTTCCCTGACTAGTCCACTTTTCTCTTCCTATATATACTTCGTGTTTTTTCCAATAAAGGAGAATATTATTCACTCATCCAAAGTGTCATATACTTAACTATATACACTCTTCTCACGAGAGGGGGAGAGAGGCAAGCGGGCATCCTAACTGAAAGAAATAGCTGAATTTTTTATTTACAAGATTGACTTGATTGACAATGATTGACAAATGATTGACAATGATTGCGTTGATTGCAATCAGCTTTTTCCCCCTTGGTGATGTCTCACTGTTGATTAGTGGCAAAATTGTCCCAAACGGTCTTGATTAGGAGTAGAACTTTAACTTCATCTTAAAGTTAAAATTAAAATACCACCTCTATCCACGTCCACACTCCACATCCAGTATGTGATAAACATGATTTAAATTTTTTTTTCGATCTATTTCGGTATGACCTGCGTTAATTTTATTGTTTTAAATCGATGAAATAAAATTAAGATTTACTTGTTGAGTCGAGACTTTGCTACGGAAAAACTTCGTTGCATGTCAAATTGATGTTCGATGAATGACGAGAAGATTCTTACTGATCTGTTGTCAAACTGATCGGTAAATATCTATCAAACAATTGAAAGGATTCATCTTTGATCACGTGTAAATCTTCACTTGTAAATATTCTTCAATCGAGGAATGGCATGGAACACTCTTCTGAATTATGAAATATCTTTTATATCTTGGCTTGTATTACATGAAATGATGATCAAAAGTTCTTCGTTCACTGATATTGAATGAAAGATTATTCTCAACTTGCGTACCGATTCCATCGTGTAGTTCTCTTCAAACATTCAACGATCACGTTGATCAGCAAAATGAACATTAGTGGAATATTCAATGGATATAAACACTCGACTCATTTTCTTCACATATTATATGTGATAATAAACTTCAAATCATTCATCTCGATTGCCAGTTAATGTGAAAGACAAAGGCCATTAATTCGAGCCGTTGTCTATGAAAAAGGAATCTTTTTCTATTCAAAACTGACAACAAAATTGCCATGTAGAAATCCGAGAGGAAAAAAATCAGCACAAGAATTAGAATTTTCCTTGAAAACTGACAATCTTTCTGCTAAAACTGGAGATATTGACATAATAACCAAATCATAATGGAAAAAAAATCGCATTACACACATTATTTATTCATTTTTCGGTGTCTTTAATTCAGTCGCAGCAACAGAATCACACGAATCAGTTACGTGTATTGCGTTAGTCTTTCTTTGAAATAGAGCTTCCATATTAATTCTGTCAGAAAAAGTATCACTCTTAATATTTGATTCAAACAAATAGTTCTTTGATAATCTATCAGTCAAGAACAGATGAAGTATTTATATTTTTCTTTCCACTTAAGGCTCATTTTGTGATTATCTGTCATGCATTTTCCCATCTGCTTCTGACATTTAATTATACTTACTTGAAAATTTTTAAAAGACAATGATTTGACAGAAAAGACATGATCTAATTTCTCTTGTCAAAGCGCATCGAGTTACGTCTTTTCAAAATACTACCATTCGCATGTTTTGGATATGTAAGATAATAAAATGCGCAACAGAATTATATTTTACTCCTAATTCTATCATTCACAAAGAGAAATCCATAGGCGTTCAGCAAGATGTAATACTCTGAGTGAAAACTTTACTCTGTATAATTCTTATATTAAAATAAAGCACTGGCCATGGATTGCATTATTATTTAAATGTTATAACAAAAGAACTTTGTCACGAGTTCTTTTGACTTTTAGTAACTATTACAGCTATTTTGGTAATACATATAGTCACTAACATGGTATGTTTGGTCAGCGAAATTACATAGACAAAGTTCGAAAACTGATAGTTATGTTATCCTTAATTATCAAGTAATGATCTTCGTGTATACCCCTAAATCTCTTCTTTTGTGTCAAACGTATTTTTATATAAGAATTATACTGAGTAAAGTTTTCCACTTAGAGTATCACCTTTTTCTGAACTCGTATGTATTTCTCTCACTGAGCGACATAATTAGCAATGGAATATAATTCTGTCAGGAATCTTACTCTTTTAGTTATCCAAAACATGTATATAACGATATTTTGAAAAATCATAAGTCGATACATCTTGTCAAATCATACTTGTTTTAAGAATTTCCAAGTAAATCTGCTTGAATAGCGGACGAAGGAGAATGTGATGAGGGGGTAGAATGAGAAGCGAGCATGAAAAAAAAACAAAATTGCGTAGCTCATCTGCTTTTGATTGTCATTAGTCAGCAAATAATTCATTTTTTTAATAAGCATATGTCACAGCCCCCATAGGAATTCCAGCTGAGATCTGAATGAGAGACGTAATTAAAAAAAAACTAAAAAAAGAACTTTTTATCTATATAAATTCAGTTGATTTTGGTAAGTGCGAGAAAATAGAAGAAAAATTATAATAGGAAGAAAGCTTTACGAACCGAAGGAAGTGATTGATTTAAATGAGAGTTCACAAAATCAAGTCAGTCTTTTCTCGAGATTCTTTTTACTGCTGTATCAGTAAGTTCAGTTGAAAATTCACTGAGAGTAATTATAGCATTTAGACACTAAAATTAGTTTTCAATTTTTATTAATATTTACAACAATTTATTACGCCTTTATATCATAATTAAAAAACAGATATGTAGTGCGATGCATACTTGTTTCTAAAAATCGTTCACTCCATACCCTACGTATTGACACAAATATGTCTGATCGATCTCAGAAACTAAAGATCAGCTGTTGAATGATATTGAGGAACTGAGCTTTGAATTAAATATTGCGAGTGATGTTTTCCTCTGACAGAATTAAAATTAGCCGTTCTATAGCTTAGAAGTAAGTAAATATAAAGAGATATATGATGACATATATATGTGAGATGAATGTTTCAATCCAGCGTATGCATACTATATAATCTCTGTCACTCCCATAACAATATAGGATCTAATATCTGACGTACAAAAACGATTGATAATCGACGTTTGATATTAAAATTAAAAATAAATCCATGCACGCTGATCGAATCAGGACACTGATCTGATAGAATTATCTGTCTACAACCGATCTTCAACAGGGAATAGTCACTCTATATATATATCTATAATCATAGATGAATTACACTAGTAGCAACAACAGTTTTCCTCCTAATGGTGGAATGGGTCGTCCTGGTGGTGGAATGGGTCCTCCGCCGGGCTCTGGTTCAGTCCCTATTACATCTATCCAGAGAAATTTAGCTCTCTATGGATACATTATTATTTTCCTCTTTGGCTTTTTCGGCCATGCTACAAGTGCCATCATATTTCTTCGTCAAACCCTTCGTAACGTTTCGACGAGTTGTCTATTTGTATGCATGGCTGCATCAGATGCAGTCTATTTGTTAACGTGTTTCTACAGTTTTGTCTTTCTTGGCCTTGGTGTTTCCACAAAGAATACCAATCTCATGAATCTATTGTGTCGTATTTATTCATTTATTCAATATTTTTCTATGTGCTGGTCAGCTTGGCTCTTATTAACCATTGCAATCGATCGATGGCTTCGTATTCGATTTCCTTTTCGAGTCAAAGAATTATGTACAAGAAAAAGAGTACTTATCGGTGCAATCATTCTTTTCATCTGTTCGATTGCACTCAATTCCCATTTACTGCTACCATCAATGGGTGCTGTGCCTGGCGCCATTGCGTGTACTCCTGGTCCCTCGTCAAGCGCTACATACCAATACTTTTACTCAAAAGTATGTTTCTTTATTTGAAATCTTGCCAATTTACAAGACATTTATCAATTCTTTTCAGATCTGGTCTATTCTAATAACTGGCCTTCAAATAGTCTTGCCCACAATATTTCTTCTCGTATTCAGTATCAACATATTCGTTAGACTTCGTCAGCAACAACAACAAAAGCAACAACTGAAACAAGGTCATCGTCGTACTTTTCTCGATCAACAAATGTTAATAATTATGCTCGCTAGTATTTTTCTCTTTTTTGTCACACAAATCCCATTAGGTCTCTTCCATATTCTTATGATTTATGTTCTTCGACCGAGACTTTCACTACAACAACAACTTGAATTGAATACTATTTCCATTTTTGTTGCTTCGATCAATTATTCAGTAAATTTAATAATATTAGTTTTCGAATTATTTTCATCATATTACACTTTATTTTAGGCTTCATTCTACATTCATTGCTTAACAAGTCGACTGTTTCGTCAAGAATTTTTCAATGTAATACATATTATTCGTAATCGTCGTATAGGTGTTGTAACACAAATTTTGGGACCTGCAACCACCACTCATACACAAATGCAAACTCGACTAACTCGTTTGCAAGAAAGAAAATCCACGAAAGCATAGACATTCAACTTTCTGTAGTGTCCTTCTTTTTTTTGTCATTATTCAATAAAATTTTTAAAAATATCAATTTTTTTCTATGATATCCAAAAATTGATCAAAATGTATTCATTATATCTGCGTGCTATATGACAGTTTTTCACTCGGCTCGGTATCAAATCAACGAGTTTTGAGCTAGTCTTTTCTTGTCTACAGATGGATTCTGAGAAGTATGAGCTGGTGAATAGTATGAACCACCATCGATCACTAACATTGTCAATCAGATCATATCTTTGGTGCAATTGAATCTTAAACAGCATGGTAAATCGAATTGTTAATCGAAAGATACATTAGAGTAATTGCATCGAATGTAAGTTTGACTAATGACATCTTATCCTTTTCTGCAGAGTGATGAACATCTGTTCGATTTGATCAATTGAACTAGAGACACAAAGCTCTAGAAAAATCATACGCACATTTAAATATGGAGCAATAAGAAACAACCTCACCCTCAGCTACCTCCACGGCATCATTGTCAATTACATGTACCATTCTGTTCTCTTCATCATTAACTAAAGAATATAGAAAATTTTTATAAAGATCTCAATGTGATCATATCCATTTAAGATGCATATAATCCCTTTATAATATGTTCACATACTATATTGGTCGAAGCAGAGACAAGAATATCATTTTTTTTCGTTGGAGAAAAAACATGCTTCTATTATTCTTCAAAATTTTTTGCGAAACTTTGAAATCCTTGAATGGTAAAATCATTGACCATAATTTCGTCGGAACTATTTTTCGATGTTTGATGTGATACACTCGAGATCTTGAATTGATTTTTCTATGTAGATGTCGTTTGTTTTTCTGTCGTCTACAGATGGTACTTTGCTATAAACTAAAAAATATAATTCCTTCATTTTTTCCCCAGAAATATTCAAGACTGGAAAATTGCATATTGCCTTCCTTTTGCATTCTATTCTTTATTTGAGATAACTTTTTCCTTTTTAAACTTATGTTTGTAAGAATGATTTTCGATAAGTGTTGTGCGCTTTATCATATATTTGTGAAAAGTGCAGCTGCTCTAAATAGATTCAAAATGTCACCATATTCTTCTATCTACATACTTCTGAAATAGACAACAGCATTTGCTTTTTATTTGAGAAAAAGAACTTGTGATTTGCATTTCGATTGATTCTTTAAAAAAAATCAAATCATGCATAATACATTTTTATACTATCTATTATTATCAGTTTCAACTTTGTCAGTTGTAAGATCAGCTAATATTTTAATGGCAACGAAGGTAAATATTTATCTGTTTTTAAAGAGAAAATGAATGTGGATTTGGTCATACCGCAATTGTAACGCTTATCCTCTCATATGCGACTGCTTCACCACTACTTGGACTCATAAATACCTATCATCGGTTTTTTGTGAACAAGTTTCAAAGAAATAAACTTGACACGTCTATGTTAACTATGGATATAGCATTACTCGGTTGGTTGGACCTACGATTCCGACAAGTCTTTTCTCTATTCCATTAAATAGACTGTACCCTATTAAAAAGGCCCTTCCTTACGTTCCCAGATTGATTTTCAACAACGGTAAGTTTGATTTCACCTAAGGATCTACCGTAGAGTCTCAATCTCCTGTCGAAAATTGTCGTTTTCAATAAGTCATCCATGAAAAAAATTCTGACAGTCCAAACATTCATACTTCATTCCTAAGATAGTTCAAACTGTCCAAAATCCAATATTTTTAGTTTCGATCAGTTTAATCTATTTGATAAAGTGCCAACGATCTGACCCGAACCGAACGAATTTTTTTCTGATTAAGGTTTGAAAATATTTTGTCACAATTTAAACATTCTCTACTATTCTTTACCAAAATGTCGCTTTATGTGTTATAAAAAAATTTGCTTTCAAAAAAAAACAAAGAAAAAAAATTAATAATCTACTGTCTGTCCAAAATTAAAATGGTCTCCGCCATTTTTTGAATAAATTGAGAACAGAAACAGCTAGCGAGCTGTGGCTTTCATCAGTCTAAAGAAGAGATATGGGGGCGTCTTTGTCTCCGATATTGTATAAGAAGAAACTATTTTAAAATTCATTGTTTTTGTGAAACGTCGAAAAAATGCACAAAAACAATCCTCTATTAAGACGAAATTTTCACAAAAAATCAGAAAATTTACTTAAAACTAAGAAAAATTTATACTTTTTCAATGAGTAAATTGAGAATTTGATGTACTTTACCTTAGAATGTGTGAAGATAATCATTCGAATTATATCTTAAGCTATAGATCTGAAGTTCCTCTATCTAAATAACATATCAAAACCAAAACTTCATCCAAATGGTAAGTCGTTTTCATCCATATTTTGCAATGTTTTGCAGAAATAATCGATTTGAAAATGATGTCATCTCATACAATACCAGAGAAAAGAACGCCCCAGCATCGCCTCTATCCACTGGTGAAAACCGCAGCTCGCTATCTGCTTCCATTCTCAAATTATTCAAAAAATGGCGAAGAACATTTTAATTTTGGACAGACAGTACACTGTAGCCTTCCATGTGGAAGAGGAGGGTATTATTTATTTAAAAAGCAGCGATTAATCTGAGTTTGTTAGATCAATTAATCGCGATAAATCGCTGTTTCTTTTCTCTGTTGCATAGGAAATCATCCTGAATTCAGTCATGTCATGTAAAAGAATGGGTTTGGTGCTATTTTTTTCATCTATTACGTTATTGTATTGGCATTATTATTGACAGCGAGTTAAGTGTATGCTAAAATGACTAAAGTCAGGTAAAGTTAAATCACAATTCAAGAGCAAAATAACCTACAATTTTTTAAAAATCAATATTGCTTATACTCATCTCAGAGGTAGTAAAACCATGGGGCCATGAGTGCGTTGGCACTCACATATTTTCAAAAATTTTCTAGCAAAGGATGTGGGTGTGGATGTGAGTGTGAATCATGTGTTGAGAATACAGGCGTGCCCACACCGATTTCAGTTATTTTTATGTAAATTATTTTTCACATGCATGGTAACAGTATTATCAAACTAAGAAAAGAATGATGTATAAGAGGTCTTTAGTCAATATACACTCGGAATAATACTTGAGATTTTCATTTTAAAGATTTCATTTTAGATGCTCTTTTGATCAGTAATAAACATTGAGATTAAATTATTTTAGAATGCAAAGTTCGATGCATAATGAAAAAAATCTAACTGATTTGAATAATTTTTAGCATGAGAAGCGAATGCTAAATTGTTGACAAATACAATTTTGGAACTTCTAAAAAACCTATATTGGTGAAAATATTCGTTGTCACTTTGTTATAGAATTTTACTTTTTCTAAAATTTAAAAAGAACGATGAAATAAATTTCTTCTGCATAACTGTATAATAAACTCAATTTTTACGATCAAAATTGTTCGTTAGCAACGATCTTTTTCTTCATCTTTCTAACACATTTTGATTGATGACAACAACATTGACACTTACTAGAATCGATTTGATCAAAGAAACTTTCAAAAGAAAAAGCAAGCGAAAGAATCAATACACGGCAGGCGTGTTGTTCACATTCGTACTCTCAAAACAAGTTCCGAAACAATTTTCTAATGTAATTTCTATTCTCTTGTTGTGGTAATGTCATAATAAACAAAAACCAAAAAAAAGCAAAGAAAAAAGTTATTTTTATATTTCTCAGTTGACTCTATATTGTTATAATTACCACATTGTTGAAGTAAAAGAAAGAGAGCCACCATCGAACTCTGTATTATTTTTTTAACATTTACATCTATATTCGAATGAAGATACACAGAACTTTGTTAATATTGATGACTTCTTTTTCATTTTATTTAGATGTCATCTAAACAACAACAAGGTTTATCATCTCATCGTATTCGTGACTCGTCTGAACTCAGTGTTGATCATCTCAACTGTTCTATTTGTCAAAAACTACTTTGGAAACCTGTTGCCTGTCAATCATGTGAAACACCTTTCTGTTCAGCATGTATTTATCAATGGTTGATCAACAATCCAAAAAAGTGTCCAAATTGTGATGAAAACTATATTGAACGAGAATGCCCTCCATTTGTTACTAAGCTACTTGCTCAATTGCAGATTGCTTGTTTTTATGAATCTAATGGTTGCAAACAAGTATTTAGAGAATGATCTCATTTTCATCTATACATTTTTATTACTTTTCATAGATCATTCCATATGAAAGATTAGATAAACACGAGACTGAATGTGGTTTCCAGTATCAACAATGTCCTGGTTGTCAATCACAAATATTGAAAAAAGATTTTGATAACCATACGAGTAGCTGTGCATCAATTGAATTAACTTGTCAAGATTGCAAACTCATATATAAAAGAGGTGAAGCTGCTAAAAAACATACAGAAAAAATTTGTGTGAAAGAACAACTTCGACAACTTCGAGATGAATGTAAAGAGAATAAACGTGAAGTACACGAACTCACTCTTCAATTGGATGAAATTCGCATATTGAGTGAGTGAATAACTATATTACATTTTGTAATAAATATAATGAGTTTAGAGCCATCGATCACAACAATTAGGATCACATTTAATGATTTACCAAAATCTGTTGATCAATTGAAAAACATTCCGAAAAAGTATAGTGGACTGAGATGGAGTAGGATTGCATATATGCACAAATCGTATGCAATGCTGAAATATCCAAAAAGTGCATATGCAACATCCTTCATACCTGATGGTAGTTCATACATTGCATATTTCCAGGATAATGCATCAATCAGTGCCGAGAACTCAAACGAACAATTTACTTTATTTTCTGTTACTGCATGTGCTGCTTCAAACGATGATCAACAATTAACCATTATAGGATATCGAAATAATGAAGAGATCAACACACATACAACAACACTTCTCTTTGGTAAACTACAATTTATTCTACTTCATTGGAAAGACATAGACAACATCATCTTTAATTCATTTGGTGGTACTGCTCATCCTGATTGTAGTGCATCGCCAGGGTGTCAAGTTGTACTAACTCAGCTCACAATAAGTCAAATTGATTGAAACGTACATTTTCTCGCTCAATGGAGTATAAGTTTTTACGTGCTCTAAATATCAAAAACTCTTCACCATGATAAAATAAAAATGCATTGCGATTCACGATTTAATGGCTTGTGGATATGGGTGTGTGTCTACTGTTCACCCATCCATATCCACATCCACCTTTTTTCCCAGACTTTTTTAGATGTTGTGATTTTCCTATTTTTGACTAAAAATCCTGACTTTGTCCTGATATTTCATGATCCATCTTCGTAGAACTATATATAGGTCATTATGCCGTACTATTTTGTCAACATTTCGTTATGATTTATACAGAAACATTTATAGAGTATTCTATACAAATAGGAAAGATAACACTTAAATTATATTTATTTCAATCATTCGTATTTTTTTTGTAATTAGTTTAACTTTCCAATATATTCAATAAATTGATTTAACAAAGTAACTATTTTAGCATAAGAAGTTTCATAAATACTTCTGCGATACCAATGTGATAAAATTTTCAATCGTTCATGGTTGCCAAGAGTCATGTGTTACTCATTTATTCTAACATTTTAGTTGCTTTACTCATTCTTCTTGTAAATTCTGTTATTCGTTTTATTAAATGAAATTTTTTTTTTTTTCAATCGTTTATGTTCAGTATCAGGACGTCATTTTCGATTGGCAGCAATAAAAAAAAACTTCTTTGGCCCTAATGAATCTCATACAAATAGACGTCTTCAAGGTTGTTCTATCTAATGATGAAAACTGATAACTGGTTTTGAAAATGGAATACTTTTACAAGAATATTCATTTGAAACAATATGAGCTAAATGCGTTATTGATCTTGAGCAATTAGATTTTATTCAATAGGATTCGATGAAATAAGTTATTTTATATATAGACATTTATAATAATCTCTATCCGTGCTTTTCATTATGTCAATAAATAATGATAATCGGAAAAGTTCTGATTTATCTTTCTGTAATTTGTATATGTGTACTATTGGCCCTCGATAGTAGCTTCTCCAATAAATAAATCAATTTTACTCAGTTCTCAAATGAATGTAGTACCAGTTTTTGAAGAATATTGGATTGTTTCATCATTTTTTGGTGAAATTCGTGATGACAAGATGTATGAACAGTGAATACAAGATATGAAATGTTGATGAAATTTATTATAAGATAGAAAAGGATAATCGGATTCTGCAGTGAAATTTTATATTTGAGAATTAATTTTGAGTGAATGAGCTTGATATGATGGTATTAAAGATCTTTCCTATTAAAAACAACTAATACATTTTATGATAAGATTCGACATTCGTGCATATACAAATTCGTATACGCACCAAAACAAAATACTGAAATGGATGCTAAAGACAAAAAAGTTCACTATTATTTATTCAAATAACTATTCAGACCAACCATTAGAATAAAACGATGAAGATCTATCTATTTGATCAAATATTGATGGGGTTATATTATCATCATATTCAAATGTTTGCATACCAATATTATCAATTGAATTCAAATAAAGATACTCATGGTTACCATCAGTCCAAACAATAGATGTTGGAAAGATATACTAGAAGATATATCAATAAGAATTTACTGATGATGATTTTAATTAATCTATTCACTGAGCTTTTATAAATTAATTGAACAGAGCGTCCAGACTTGCGTTAGTGAATACGATCAGTCCTTTTCATCTCAGTTTGAATTTTTTTAATTCACCAATCCAATTCATCACAGTAATCATCGTATTTCTGATACTCACAGACATCTAAACTGTATTCAAATTTCAGTTAAGCTATTAATAAAGCTTTTGAAGTACAATCTTTACTATTCTGCATTTTTTTGTGAATAATCTTCAGACAACAATTTTCCGTTAATTGCGATTCTTGCCTATGCATTTAAATTGTTACGAAATGAACAAAAATCTATAATTCATTCCAGATCTTCAAACTTTCATCAGATCTACCCAGTATTTTCCGTGAATAGATGATAAACACTATTGTTATCATATTTCCAAAATAAAAAGGATACGTAGGGCATACCAAAATTAGTGACGCCGACAATATTATAATATCTTATAGAAGACTTCAAGGAAATTTTCTTTCTATATATACTGATAGTCCAAATCATGTTCTATAATTCTGAAGGTATACTTTGAAAAATGAGTTTTAATTATTGTACTGAATCAAGACAGATTAGAACCGAACCAAAGAAATAAGTTGTAATTGTAATCCAGCACCCCTACCAACGCTTTTCGCTCATAGCTACACGACATCCACACTATACTGCAGTTCGACATCATTTAGATGTCATTGCTTACAAATCTCTTTTTGCCATTTTCTATTTCGATAAGATACATTTCACCATTTTTACTTTTCAACATTTTACTACTAAAACCGTGAAAAACGACTTTGCAAAGAAAGTTCTAGTTCAAGTGAAATTTAACTGTTTGCAAATTAAATCTTTTATTTAATGTTTAAAACTCAAAATAGAAATAATCGGGTGTGAGTGTTGGTGCCTGGATGTGGTTCCATAGATTACAAATACCACAGTCACAGCCACACCCTGTAAGTTATATTTCTTCTAACAATTTTGTGTCTAATCAAGTTTTGAGGTAGTATATCGTTGAAGAAAAACTTTGTGAAAAATATTCTTGTTCGCTGAAATGTTAAATTCGCTCAGCAGTATATTAGAACTAAGTTGCCTTATCCAAATTCTTGCATAAAACTGAATTCGATTTATAAAAATGATGTGCCAATATTATCGATTCATGATGTTCGATAGAATAGAATTCATTTACGCATGATCATCTCATAACTAGGTGGTGGTTCTTCATAATCCAGATTTGACGTCGCTTGGCGAAATGGATCTGAAGAACTAAATGGATACGCAGGAGTGCTCGAAACTGGAGCCCTAGGAATTGGTTCTTCAACACAACGCACAGTTGAAATCGTAGAACTAGGTGTGACCTGATTTGCCCTATTGTTGCGATAAATAATACGTTGAATCCATTTTTTCTTTAAGCATATGAAAATTCCAAAGATGATGGCGATGACAAATGAAGCCACGATCGAAATGTAAGGGAGTTTTGACTTAATGTGCGGCTTACCTTTGGACGTCGTAGAATACATATCGATCCAACTATCTAAAGAAGAAATGCAAGAATAGATTTTAGAATTTTTGATAGTATTCGAAAATAGCATGCCCTATGAATAGAACTACGTAGATTGTTGAACTTATTCTGTTGAAAATAATAGTAAAAATCTTTTATTTAATTTTTACTTGTCAATAACCAAGAATTCATTTAGAAACTCAATACATACAGTCTCTTATTAAGCAACACTAATGACTACATCATTCAGTATGTAACTTGAATCAGTGATTTTCTAATATATTAAGAAACAAAGAAAATCAGTAAACTAGTCATTCTATGCTCATTCACCAGCTTCTGCAATGAATTTTATCAAATCTTTACTCATTTTAATCTTGACGAACGTTGGTATATATTATTATAGAGAACTTGTATTTCGTAGGCTATCATAAGTCTAAGTCTCTATAGATCAAAACTTTTGTCTAAATTTGAATAGTTTTGAAGCAAGTATCCCCAATAATATTTGCTGTTAAAAGTATGTGATAAAATGTTGTACAAGAAACAACAAGCTTGCTAATGTTTTAGTCTTGGAATTACACTTATCGTTTTTTTTTCAGAGAGAATATCATTTGAAACGTGTTTAGTTGATGTGAAATGTGCAATGCTTGGAAAATGATCCGTTTCTTAAAATTTGTTTCTGATAAAAGTTTGGTTAAAAATAATTGAATTTTGCATAGATCATTCGATATAAAAGAACTTATGATCATGATTGTATATTGTTTATACAAGATAATATAATCAAAATTAACACTCAAATACGTGGTTAAAACATTATAACAATGAATCTAAATGTAATAATCATCATAAAATACTCACCTGAAGCACGCGAGATCATTTCAATACCTACATATTATTTAGTCAGAAAGAAAAAAATCAATAGAAATTCAGAAGGTTTGCTTTCATTTTATACGAACCATTAAAAGTTATCAAATAGATGAATATGCATGATAGTAGTTTCAATCAGAACTCTCAAAAATATCATTCTTTCACTTGAAGAGAATAAAGAAAGGATAAATGAGAATTATATTTTTTATGCCTAAGATAAAGTGATGTAGATTACTATTGTAGGTATGGACGGCGAGAGAGAGAAATCATACACACACATCCTAAAAAATGATAAATCCAATAGAGAAGCAAAAGACTTGACATTATGGGTGGCGCTCGATCTTTTCACATGTATCTGTGTTGCTTATGCTAGAGTAAAAGATTTTGATCGCAGCACTAGAAATTAAAAGATTAACTCATGTTTAGCTATTCGTTGGGACTATCGATCTATCATCTATATCAACTTTCAACTGATGATATGAAAAAAAAATGCAATAAATTCCTAAAAACTATGCTAAGCTATGCATAATTACAAATGAAAAGGCTATGAACAAAGAATCACTTACTATGATGAGTTGAAGAGAAAAATTAACCTCAGTGAGTACGATCCCCTGTCAAACGAATTAAAATTTTACGGAGATGAACATAATAGAATTGAAGAGCAGAAGACAAAAAAAATACATTTTAACATGTATATAAACGATTCGATTATTAAAATAACCTATGAGGTGCTTGACATATTATCTGGCAATAATAATATTAATTTTATTCAGAGCTACACTGATGGATATTCTGTATTTTTCTCAAGAGAGATGATAACTAATGACACTATAAAGTACATCACCAACTGATATTGACAAAATAAAAACTCATATAAATCCATTTTATTCGTAAAACTTGTTTTATTTCTTATTTCTCTGATAAAAAAAAATATTATCTTGAGTATGCGCTATAAAATTTTTACCTTTCATTGAAAGTAATTTTAGTAAACCACGTGGTTGATTAAAAATAGTGACTAATGCAAAAACTGCATAATAGAACGAGTGAAAGAATGATGGAAACTATTCTCAATTTTTATTCATAATTTATATATATTCATACAGTCTGAGCAAAATTAGCCAATGTAAAAAGAAGCTCAAAAATTTCATCGCCATTACGATAGATATAAATATGTCTTTAAATTAATAGAAAAGACAAATAGATCCGTATAATTCAATCAATGCTATATAGTCAGTATGCTTATTCATTTATGAGACATTGAAAAACCATATAATTTTCCGTTACATCATGGTTGCATTTGTTTTTTCTTTCTCTTCGAGTATACATTCTTCATAACTTCTAATCCTTATTCATATGTTGAAGTGAAAATATAATAATTTTAAAAGTGCTAGCAAATGTCGATGGAAAAATAAATAAGTAGCATACGCTTAACATGACAATGGTATTAGTGATGCAACAACTATACCTCTATATATTCGACTGATAGTCTACTTCTGGATAATATGAAAGTAATCATAAATAAATCAAAAAGAAAACAATAATGATAACTGTAGCATATCGCAAATAGATTAGAATTAAATTTAAACTTTGAAAAAATAACACACATAGATAATAGAAACTAGCAAAGTTTTGCATATAAAGGAAAAAAATTAGTCGCAAGTATATTAAGGAATATTCTACTTTTTTAACGATTGTTAAAAAACATGACTTGTCATTCTGATAACAAATCAGAACGACCTATAATAAGTGCAAATTTTTGCAATAGGTGTGTTCATATAAATATAACTTATCAAACTAAAGATCCTGCATTTTAACGAATTGTCAAGCAACAAATCCATTACAAACGTCTTACTTTACTCAAAAAAAAACGAATGATTATTGATGATAGTCAAATGCGTGCACGAAAATATGCTCTGTTACGAAGAAAGGTTTCCAGGTGTCAAATCGCTTTTGATTCGCGACTATATTCATGCGATAGATCCTAGTGATGGTGTGGGTGTGGGTGTGGATCTCGAAAAAAAAACACCTACACCCTCTGTTTTGAGCTCTATCCAACTCAATCAAGTAGAACTTTTAAAAACAATTGATAGTGTCTAGGAGTGATTTTGGAGTTTGAGTGTTAGTTTTCTAGTTCTCGTTGAGATTTATTTTCTCCAATGAAACGTACATCTGATATCTTATGTTAAGATTGAAATTGATTATATACATAGCTTACAAGCTACATCATGTATGAAGACTATACAATACTCAGAACCACAATAAGTTCATGAGGATCAGTATCTCTAATGCGATTATATACCATGAATGTATTCTAAACGTGTCAGGAATATGTGACTATACACTAAACAGCTGTGAAAGGATTTGAATAATCCTTATAAAGCATGATACATGCATAACAACTTACAATGAGAGTAAAGCGAAATACAGTTAACCTTGTTTTTAGCCCTATACTGCTGTAAGCACCGTATATGATCATTAACTAGCCTCGTATACAGTACGGAGCTAGAGGGCCGTATTACTGAGCCTGTTATTACGGCGCAATAACGGATCAAACTTTTACTGTAAACGGATGAGATATATTCGTATTTGTATCGTAGACTGTCGTAAACGTCGCTGTAGCGGTTCTCGTTATGACCGACCTGGAAACCAGCACATATCCTAACGAAACAGATCTTATCGAAAATTTATTATTATGATATTAATTCAGGTATGATAAAATAGCATAGAAACATAGAGTTTTCTTTTCTCTATCAGACTATATAGAAAGAAGGTTTTTTAAAGTTTACTATAATCACTCTCACTACTTTTAATATACCCTAAGTAGATGCAAGTACTACCAGCAAAACTATTTGAACTAATCGTATTTCACTTCTGTTAACTTTTTTCTTCTACGCATTATTCTAAACCATTAAATGTGAGATCGTAGTTATACAAATAGGGTTGATAACGATGGATGTTGAAATAAGGGTTAGAAGTTGATCGAGTACACTAGAAAAATTAGCGTGGAATCAGGTATAAGAAGGACTGGGATGTCTCGGTATTCCGAGCCCGATGTCATATTAAATAAGAATCATTTGCTATGGCCAAGATCAAAAACAAAGAGTTTGAAAAGCAGAGAAAAAGACTACCAATAGCACATTTTGAGTTGTGTGCCACAGTTGAATTACTTTCAATGTGCAAGTTTGATCAAACGAACGAAGAAGCACAGCTTTTTAACATTAATTTTGTGAACGCCATCTTAATGTAGCACAATAATCATCATTAAATTAATCAAATTGTTTTTCTTTATGAAAAGTTGAAGTACGAGGAAACATAATTTGAGTAATACATTTTTAAAATAAGATGATAACGAAAAGGTTTCATACATAGATAATCAAAAAATAATTGATACCTTTTCTTAATCTCGAGTATTTTTCTAAAAAAAACATTTAAAAATAAACCATTATCTTCGAGTCTAACAAGAAATAGTGGAATAGATTCTAATAGTAATTATATTGAAACAATACTAATGTTCATCATTATGTAAAGAAAAGTTCTATTACGTAGGTTTACATCAGAGAAGACGCCATCCTCTTATCAACAAATAAAAAAAGTTCACACAATTATATTGATGAGTAAAAGCGCTTTGGATAATGAAAATTACCTGTACGCCTCTATTTACTCTATGACATGCCTGGAGAAAAGTTTTTTTTGTGCTCAAACACACAACAAATTAGTTTTAAAGATATTCATTTGCACCATTGTTCACTGTTTTTGCAACGTTAATTTAAAATTCTTCATTATAGATAATGAATAGAAAATAGAAAAAAAGAGAAAAGGCCAAATTTTAATTAAGACAAAAAACTTGATCTTATTTATAAGGAAGAAAAAAAAAATAATATATATAGAAAACGTAGATTTAATTTTCTGAAAAATATTTTTTTTTACAGTTTATATTTTAGCTGAGAAAAGTGGAAATGTTTTAGTCTTAGAATGACTTCAACAAGATCGATTTATTTAAATAATCATATTAACTTATAATTGTTTCTTATATCAAAACATTGTAGATAAATAAAAGTACTTCAATCAAACTGATATATTTCATCATATAATAAAGGTAAAAGAATTTCACTATTAGATTTGAACAACTTTAGTGTTTAGCATAAAAAAATAATGTTACTTCAGTAGAAAAAAGAACTTATCTATCAAATGATTAGCTCTTAAAATATTTTATTAGATATTTTTTTAGTAATTTTTTTTCTTACAACACGTTGCAATGTGTAACAAACATTTTGTGTACCACGGTATTAGAAAACATTTGGATTTAAATCTTTTAAGTGTTTCTCTATTAAATTGAAAGGCATAATGTTTGGCCGCTTTTACTTAATTGTTTTTCTTCTTCTCATATAGAAAGGAGAAACAATAGTACCAATTATTTATAAGTGAATAGCTATTCTGGTTGATATTTTGTTTTCATCTTTAAACAATAAGTGCCGCATTTGAACTCTAGTAGAGTTTTGGCATTGGAGTCACTTTTTTCATCAAATTGAGGGATGTGGGTGGGTGAGGGTGTGAGTGTGGATTGGGTGTGCAACAGTTATACACTCACATCCCACACCCTTATTCGGTTCCTAAGTGAAAAATTGTTTTGTTTTATGGATTGATGAATGTATGGAAAAAATCTTGCGTTAAAAACGATATCTGTCGCAAGCTATAATGACGTATTGGTTTGGTGTATGTTTCTGGTCTGTTGTGCAGAAACATAGAATCGAATTTACTACTTCTGTTCTTCAGCACTTCTTTTCGTTCATCCTTCGCAAAAACTTGAGTGCTCATGTTGAAAAAGTGAGCGTGCTGTTATCTGGTCAACAGGGTTTCTAGTGTTTGGCCTCATTTTATAAGTTCTTTGATCAAGGCATTATAGAATGGGAAAAAGTAAATGCGCTGCGGTAGTCCCTGATTCAAAACCCATATGAAACACACTAAATTTCAATGGCTACATTCCATAAGACTTTCCGGCTTGCATGAGGTAAAATTTAGATTCTAAACATTATCATAATAAATAATATCGACCACAGATTCAAAGTTTGATAGAATCCTATAGGAATCCGATCGGAGTCTGATCGTCGGAATAAATGGGGATTTCTACAATCGGAAATTATCGGAAACGTATGAGTATCCGATTGTGGGATCCGATAGGATCCGTCGTCGAATTTTTGGACGTGGGAAATGCCATGAAATGTTCTGAAGTACTGTTGAAGTATTACTGCACTACGACTGCACTACGGATAGACTACCATTGCACTATATGTAAAGTGCGATCGAAGTAGAATCAGATTGAAGTAGCGCTTTTTCTCTCTTGATTGGCTTTCAGAAGTATTTTTTACCACAACTGTTTTTATAGGGTTTTGGGGCTTCAAAGCGAACTTTATCGGCTTTTTAGGGGGTCCAAGGTGTTTTATAGACTTTTAGTGGTTCTAATGGGTTTTTATGGACTTTTATGGATCCCAAGTGAGTTCTGTGGTCTTTTAGGGACCCCGATGGGTCTTGCTGATAGTCGGGATCGATTGAGCTTTTTAGACTGTTCGGTAGGTTTCACGTAGGTTTTCTAGCGATTAAGAAGCAGCGGAATCTATATCGCTTTTGTTTGTTAGCGGAAGACCGAACTCGGATAGTTCGGTCATTTCTCGGGTTCGATGCATGCCTAATCCCCATCCAACTCTCTAATAATATCTAGTTTCATCAACCATGATCAAATACATCAAATATTTTTCGAATTAAGAGGACTATATAAGAGAGAACATCTATTAATTTCTGGATCGGACTTAACAATTGTATGTTATATCCTTAGAAGAGTGGAGAGTTTCTAGTCCATCATATTTGAGCTGAGTGTTTCTCTGCTCTTTTAAGGACAAATCATAGAGTTGTTCGAGCGAATTCATAGGTTATCTGGCATCTTGTCTGACATGATACGAACAATGCTTCACTCTTTCATCCTCATCTTCGTCCCGTACATCTTTAGTGCTGTCTCATCACCATAGTGCTCAGCCTCTAGAACAATACGCGCCAGACAGTCTTTTTAGTAAAATGCTCTTAACAGGCTTAAGGCAATGATTTCAGTTACTTTTGATCGGAAGGGGTCATATACTATTTAGCTGGGGAAATCGCACTTAGAGTTTCTTGCACAGCTACTACTAATCTCTTGATTCGAATATGGATTGTTATTGACTTTGTAGTATTTGTAACTGACTATAAAGTCAGAAGTACAGCCATTGTGTAGTAGACAGATGGGTTCCGCAAAAAATCTAAAAACCGAAAGGAAAGGTAGTTAATCGAGTTATTTTAGTATTAACATTGGATATCAATGGAATAACTGGTTGTGTTAATATAACAGCAATAGAGACTTATTGTATTGGAAAGACTCACTGTTTATTAAGATCAACATGAAAGAGGTTTTATGAAAAATCACATGAAATTTAATAAAGTTGGCCTTACTTCGAAATGAAACTAAAAAGCTGATTGAAGGTTTTTAACTTTTGAAATAGATGAATTATACCAACAAATCCATTAAGAATTTTCTCTGACATTCTCTTTAATTTTCATATATTATTAGTGCTGAATTACATAAAAACAGAAATGTATTTTAGTTATTCAAAATGGTATCCATTGACTGTTTGAAAATATTGCTGCTTCTATCGATCATCGGACAAATATCAGGTAAAGATTTAATCAATTTTCCTATTCAGTTGTTAGAAGATATGGATTTCTAAAATTTTGTATAAACATCTTTCATGAAAAATGCATGTTCACGATAAAACCACCGTATTTTGTCTCAATAAGAAGAAAACTCTGATAAGTGATGCCCGTTGTCATTATCGGTCATAGAGCTTGAAAAGAAGAATTGTGGTCATATTTACTTTTCCCAAATGAATGTCGTACGGCAAATTTCGGCTAGAAAACTTCAAAAAATAGTCAGATCTTGAAAAGTTTCCGAGCAGAACTAAGTGTAATCGATCACTGGATACGAGTATTATCACCCTCCTGGCAAGATACAATCATTTTCCGAGTTGTTCGACCAGAAAGTTACTTGAATCAGAAGCTGGAATCATTGCCTTGGATAGGTAAGTCTTTCCTGTCTCTTATACCACAATATACCAATGTCATAACATGTTATTATATTGCCGATGAAACTAACAGTGAAACGATAGTCTCTATGATGCTTGAAGTCTCTTAAAGGGTTTTATAGTACGACCAAAAAAACATATATAGCGAACTGCACATGATACTGATAACTGGAATATATGAGTAAAGAATAAAGGAGAGTAGGACCAAATTTTTTGTAGTCATTTTTTTGGTCTAACGAGGGAAGGTCTTCAACTTTTCAATCCCTTTTGAGTTCGGACTTTGTGCAAAAGATAGACCTCAGTGACGTATGAAAAACTCCAAAAGACTAAATGCCCTTAGGCCTTCTGTCTAAAGTTATAGGGATTTTACTGGAATTTTAGCCCATGGCATGCTCTATACCAATGAATTGAATGACAGTATTTCGACCTGAGATTTTGCCCACAGGCAAGTCTTTTGGTGAGTGGAATGTTCTGAAAATTTCAGCTGAAAAGAACATTTCCTTCCCGAGATATTTAAGCCTAAAAAAAACAGAAACTTCTAGCATCGTTTGTAGTATATGAGCCATTTTTGGGACTTAAATATCTTGGAAAGGAAACGTCCTTTTCAGCTGAAATTTTCAGAACATTCCACTTACAAATAGATCTGCTTGTGGCCAAAATCTCAGATCGCAATACTGTCATTCGATTTATTGGTAATTATATACCATGCCATAGACTAAAATTCCAGTAAAATGCCTATTACTTTAGACAGAAGACCCAAGGGCATTTAGTCTTTTAGGGTTTTTCACACTTCACTGGGCTCTATCTTTGAGAATACATCCTATTCCGCGATGTTGCACATTGCGGGAATCATTTCCGCCCCGGAATTCCGTGTGGGGAGTGGGTGCAATGATATGACTGAAGTGAAGCTATCATTGCAATGTATTAGGGATTCCGGAATCGGACAAAATTACATGGAATTGCATGCAATCCCGTCTAATTCCGTCTCGAAGCAGTGCTCGGAATTGCACTGAATTCCGATAATTCCGAAATTTGAGGGAACTCGATCGTTTTCAAGTAAGTCGAGTGCGTTCTACGATTAGGAATTCCGGAATTGGATGGAAGTGATTCCGGAGCGGAATTGATTCCCGCAATGTGCAATATCGCGGAATAGGATGACTGCTCCTCTCTTTTGCACAAAGTCCGAACTCAAAAGGGATTGAACAGGTGAAGACCTTCTCTCGCAAGTGTGTATGCATTCGAGACATAAATTGAAACATTCATCATACTCATAAATTTTGACCTAATGCTATTCGATATAAGAAGAGTAAAACTCAAATATCATTATTTTGTATTTTCGATTCCAAACCTATAAAACTATTTTACTATTAAAAAGAATATTGTCACAATAAGTACAATAAAACTTTGGGCAGACTATACGTTTTCTAGAATGCATCTATAACAAAGAAGAAGCCAAATAACTGCAAAAAAACCTTTTGTACTTATACGAATTGATATTTGTATCGATTAGTACTTTCGTCAGATGCTTGAGAAATAACAATACGAGTATGATAGATCTATTCTTTTCTAGCAGATGACTTGTTTATGATTTAAATATTTATTTCGAAGACAATATTCTGTATTTCTATCTTCTTTAGCTGTTTCCTACAATCAGCCAAAATTTTGTCCAAATGCATCGTGGAATTCAACAGCTATAACATTTGCAACTAACACCACGGTCGGTACATATCCGTTTGGTATTTTTATCAATACGAATAACACTGTCTACGTAGCTAATCGATTAACTCATATGATCGTTGTATGGCTGCAAGGAAGTAGTATACCTACAAGAAATATTTCTGGCAATCTAAGCTATCCAGCTAGTCTCTTCGTTACGGATACTAATGATATTTATGTTGATAATGGATATGCAAACAGTCGAGTTGACAAATGGTCATTCAATTCAACAAGTAGTGTTCCAGAAATGTATGTATGTGAAGCGTGTCTGGGTCTCTTCATCGACATCAACAATACTCTTTACTGTTCAATGTTTAATCGTCATCAGGTTATCTCAAAATCACTGACAAATCGTTTAAATGTATGGAGTATCATCGCTGGCACCGGTATTGCTGCATTGGCATCAGATACACTTTATAATCCTTGGGGAATCTTCGTTGATACCAATTTCAATTTGTATGTGGCAGATAGTGGAAACAATCGGATTCAACTTTTTAAATCAGGACAATTAATTGGAACAACATTAGCAGGTACCGGAGCAACAGGAACCATCGATCTGTTATATCCAACTTCAGTTGCGCTTGATGCTGATGGATATCTTTTCATTGTTGACTGTCAAAACCATCGTATTGTTTCTTCAGGACCAAATGGGTTTCGTTGTTTAGGAGGATGTTCGAATACTGCTGGTTCAACAGTTTCACAATTATATTATCCGACAAGTCTTAGTTTTGATACCGATGGGAATATATTTGTTACTGATCAATACAATCATAGAATTCAAAAGTTTCTTTTGATAACAAATTCATGTAGTAAGTAAAAATTAGTTCTATCATATTCAAAATAGTATATCACTAGTGATTTGTAATTGTAGTTTTAATTCAAAAATATTTAAAATTAACTTTTTGTTTTTTGTATTAAAATTATTTCTTTCAAGAGTAAACACAAATTGTTTTATTAAATAAAATAATATTTTTCTTACAGGTGCTACAACAACGGTAACAACTATGACTACTGGTATTTTCTTCTTTACTTTTTTTTGTATTACTAATAGCTTATGTTTATTTTTAGTAATAACTTCAATGAATAGTATTCAAACGGTTCCTTTAACAACATCTGTTTTTCAAATAAGTTCTACAACTATATCTTCTTCAAAACGTATGTATAATAATTTAAAAAATGAGTAAATTTCGATTGTTTATCAAAAAAAATTAGAAAAAAAAGAATAGAAAATGAATTAATTTAAACTTTGATTATTTTTTTTTTGCAAATTATTTAATTTTTTTTCTTTAAAAAATAAGTTCATATTCAATATAAAAATCATTAAAATAATTTTTGATAAAGATAAAATTAATAACTATATTTTTGTAGTTCTTTCATACAATCTACCAAAATTTACTGCCTATACTTTTTGGAATTCCAGTGGAATAACTTTTGCAAGCTTCCCTAGTGGCACATATCCTTATGGTGTATTTGTTGATATTAATAATACTGTTTATGTATGTGAGAATTATTTACATCGTGTTCAAGTGTGGCCCGAAGGTAGTAGTACGCCTACAAGAACTATTACTGATAATTTAAACTCTTCATATACCATCTTCGTTACAATTAATGGTGATATTTATATTGATAATGGTTATGCAAATAAACGAGTAGATAAATGGACATTAAATACAACAAATAGTGTTCCAGTTATGTATGTTAAGGACATTTGTTGGGGCCTTTTTGTCGATATTCATAATAATATTTATTGTTCATTGAATACTGAGCATCAAGTGATTACAAAATCATTGATGACTAATTCAAGTATATGGACAGTAGCTGCTGGAACCCATTGTAATGGATCAACATCGAATACACTTTATTATCCTTGTGGAATATATGTTGATATTAATTTGAATTTATATGTTGCAGATTGTGGCAATAATCGAATTCAATTATTTCCATCAAATCAAGTAAATGGAATAACAGTAGCAGGAACTGGAGCAATAGGAACTATTAATTTGAATTGTCCTACTGGAATTGTTCTTGATGCTGATGGTTATCTCTTCATTGCTGATAGTGCCAATCATCGTATTGTTGCCTCCGGACCAAATGGATTTCGTTGTGTAGTAGGTTGTTCTGGTAGTACTGGTTTAGCATCTGATCAATTATATTATCCAGCAACTATAAGTTTTGATAGTTATGGAAATATGTTTGTTGTTGATGATTGGAATCATCGAATTCAAAAGTTTCTTATAACAAATATCTCTCCGAGTAAATAATACAATAGAATCTTTTTTTCATGACCTGATAGTCACGACAAAACATTCTAAGACTAAAACTTAATGAATCTTGTTTTTTTGTGGTTCTGAAAGTGAGGGTGGAGTGGTGACGGTGGGCGTGAGGTGATAATGATAGATCTCTCTTCACCCACATCCACACCCAAAATAATCTGTCCAGTTATTATTGATAAGTACTTTTTAACTATGATTTAAGAAATCGACATAGTATGAATACAAGTTTCTAAATGATAAATTTGCTTCAGAAATAAACATAGTAAAATTGTACTTTGAGTTTTACCTGTTCACTTTAGAGGATTTGATTTTGTGGCTGACATAGATGACTTTTTCTAATTTCGAAATTACGTAACCTTTGCACAGTTTGATGATATATCAACCTTATTCTTACAGTTAATTGGTAGGGTTTTTTTTTGTTGAATAAAATTTAAGTTTAAACTAAAAGAATATTTCATCAATCTCGAAAAAACAAACATAGTTTCTTTCTTATTTTGATCGAAAAAAATATAAAATATATTGTTTATTCTAGCAGCACCGACCACCATTGAAACCACTGCAGGTCTAATCACAAGTGCCGCTCAATCTACTACAGTTCTGATTACAAGTACCATTCAAACTACGGTAGCTTCAACCGCCAGTACCATCCAAACCACTGCAGTTCCAACAACAAGTGCTGTTGAAACTACTGTAGCTCCAACAACAAGTGTTATAGAAACCACTTCGATTCCAACAACGAGTGTTATGGAAACCACTTCGATACCAACAACAAGTGTTATAGAAACCACTTCGATTCCAACAACAAGCGTTATGGAAACCACTTCGATTCCAACAACAAGTGTGATCGAAACCACTACAGTTACAACAACAGGTGCCATCGAACCCACTTCGGTTTCGGCCACAAGTGCTGTTGAAAGCATTTCACCTTCGGCCACGAGTACCATCGAAACTACTGTAGTTCCAACTACAAATGTCATCGAAAGCACTGTACTTCAAAAAATAAGTAGCGTTGAAAGTAGTGCACTTCCGACTACAAGTGCTGTTGAAACTACTCTAATGCCAGTGACTACTGCAGTCGAAACCACTGCAACTTCAACCGCAACAAGCTTTCCAACAGGTTACTATGTCAACTATTTTTTGTAATTCAAATCTTACATACAAACATTTTAATTTCATAGATAAAATAAGTACATATGTCATTCAAACAATGGATACCAAAAGTACAACTCAACTTGAAAATGGTTTGTTGATGAGAATACTTTAGATAAGATGATATTATCGAAATATTTCTAGAAGAATCTTCTTCAATAGAACAACATTCATCGACAGTTACGATTATCACAACTTCAGAACCATTTAGTACAAATCAAAGTAATACTTCTGACAACATAACAGATAATTTATTAATCATTTTATTATAGGTTGTTTTTCACCTATTATTACACTGATTCCTGGACAATCATCTTTAATATCTCCATTACAATATCGACGAAGTCAGGATTTTTCTATTATTTCAATTCTTCAATTGAATTGTGATAGTTCACTTTCGATAATTACTAAATGGACAATAAAGAATTGTAGTTCTATTTGTTCATTCGAAATAGAATTAAATGAAAAAGTTCTTACAACACTTAGTGAACTTTATATTCCATCAAGAACTTTGCCTTATGGTGTTTATGAACTAGCATTAACTGTCACAATGCTTGATTTACCAAATTTAAAATCCACATCTGCTACTTATGTGAGAATAACTGCATCAGGTATAACAGCAAATCTTCTTCAATTAGGAACATCAATGATTACACGTGGGAATCAACAAGATCTTTTACTTGATCCTGGAACATTTTCTGTTGATCCTGATGAAGATTCATTTGATGCTAGTGTAAGTATCAATTGTATTAATTTGTTTTAACGAATAATCTTTCTTTAGAAATGGAAATATGAATATTATTGTCGAATTTATGGTTTATCTAATTTTCCAAATTTGCAAGGCATATTGTTATCAATTGATGATTCAAGAATTGATCCTTTGAATCCATCATGTATATCAAATCGATTAGGTAAAATTTCTTATTTTTCTTTTTATCTTAATGATAATTATCATTATTTGTCAAAAAAAAAGGTAATAGAACAACAGTGTTATATGGAAATTCAACTTTATCACCAAAATCATCTGTAACAATTCTTTCTGGTTCACTTCGATCAAATCAAATATATCAATTTATGGTTTATATGGAAAATCGTAAAAATTCTTCTATTCAAGCAACTGGTTATGCATTTGTACAAGTCGAAGATACTCGCCCACAATTAATTGCTATTGGGTAAATTTTTTTCTTTTCAATACAATTAAATATTAAGAAATATTTTATTTAGTTGTGCTATATCAACAATGTGTGTTCCAAATCTTGAATTTCAACTTATTAATCCAACAACACAAGTTGCTCTATTTACTATATGTATTGGAAATTGTATAAATATTCAAAACATAACATGGAATATTTATCAAGGTTCAGAAAATTCATCTTCAAATGTTACTCAATGGATTTTGTTTAATCAAATGATTTCATATGAAAATATTTGGTTTTTTGGTAAATTATTTTGTAATTGAGTGTGATCGATAAATAGAGTGGCGACAGCCTATCTTTGAGGATATTGCGAAGCGGTAGAACTCTGTACAAGATTCCAATATCCACAATTGTTACACTTCGAGACTAAATCAACCTCATGGATTAGAAAAAATTTCTGTATAAATTTCTGCCGCTTTGCAATACTCCTTAGAAAAGATTGTAGCAACGTTATTTTAAAACATATATCGTGTCCTGTTGACTCTATAAAAAAAACCTGCTGCTGTCCCATCGTGTAGCAATGCGATTGACATATTTACAAAGAATGAGAACTTCCGTGTGTTATGTTTATTGATTATTTTAGGAAGAAATACGAGTAACTTCACAGCAACGAATCAATTATTTCTTGATAATCCTCAAATAATTCTTTGGCGATTTGAAGTTGTTTATACTTTTGTAACTGAAACAAGTTCAAGTGCATTGAATTTTATTATCAATCAACCTCCATTTAATGGTTCTTGTTCAATTAATCCTTCTAATGGTACAACAAGTACTTTATTTACTGTTTCATGTACAAATTGGTTTGATGAAGATGGAATCAAAGACTATTCTTTCTATGGTATCATACATTTTTGAATTTTCTATGCTGTAAAAATTCTATTGTAATTTTAGCTTGGACAAAAGATCCATCAAAACGAGTTATGATTGCATTTTCACCAATATCAGATTTTCAAGTTCGATTACCAGCTGGAGATAATCAAACATCATTACTTAATATTGTTATTTATATTCAAGATCTTCTTGATTGTATTACAGAAGTTAATATGTCTTCTATTAGTATTATATCAGATTCAATAGAAATTATGAATTTAATTAATAATCTACAAAGTTCATCAAATGAAATAAATAATAATCCAATTGTTCAATTACTTTCTAGTCAAAATCAAAATATTGTTGGACAACTCATCATTTCACTTTCACAGCAATTTAATCAAATGAATACTGAAAGTGTAGCTAACGCTATTTCAAGTAAATAGTAATATCTAAAGTGATGAAAAAAAAAAGTTTAGAAACAACTAGCAAGATTTCACAGATGAACAATGATGACAAGGCTCCTAAAAAACCGAACATGGTATTTTTCAGGTTCTAGAAGGCTTTGTCAGAGTTATTTTTAAACGGTGTCATCTTAAAGAGCACAAAATTCTGGGCAAAATGAGAGGTCGCCGAGTTTTCTACGAACTTCTCATAAAAGGTTACAAGCATCACAAAAATCATGAAAAAACGAAATTTTTTTTTTAAATCGATTAGAAACGTCTTTCTCATGATTTTTATGAGAAGTTCGTAGAAAACTCGGCGACCTCTCATTTTACTCAGAATTTTGTGCTCTTTAAGATGACATTGTTTAAAAATAGCTCCGACAAAGCCTTCGAGAATCTGAAAAATACCGTGTTCGATTTTTTATGAGCTTTGCCATCATTGTTCATCTGTGAAATCTTGCTATAAAGTGTATTGAATAGAAAAATCCATTGGCTATTAAAATCACTATTTGAATTGGAGCTACGTGCTTAACATTGATGAAAAAAAAACAAAAAAAATCGTTGTTTCTAAACTTTTTTCCATCACTTAATATCATGAGAAACTATTCAAAATGAGATTTTCTTTTTTAGATGGTATTCCAGCGGCAAGTATTTCAGTATCACCATTAGGAAGTCAAACTTTACAATGGGTAATTTAATTCGATGAATTTTTCTATTAAATTTCTTTTTTGTTTTTTTTAAATAGTCTTCAATACCGTTGAATAAATCAGCATTAATTGAATATAATAAAGAATTAAATTCTCAAGCAAATGTTCGAGATTTTCTAATGCCATTTACAACTAATCTTGCTATTACAACAGCAAATAGTATCAAATTACAATCAACATCATTAGCTCAATTGACTCAAGCAACAAATCAATTAACACGAACAGCTTCAGTTAGTCCTTTTGTTTGGATTTTCTGAGAAATTTTTTATTTAAACAAAAAAAAAAAACTCTTTAGATGCTTGCATCAAATAAATGTTATCAATTATCTGTTGCTTTATATTCAATGGCAACAAAAATTTCATATGAAGATGTTCAAATAGCATCAATTCAACTTATTCAATGTGTTTCAAATGTTTTAACTGTAAGAAAATTTTTCATAATAAGAAAATTATTTGTTATTTTTGTTAATAAATTTTAGGCAATTAATAGTCCATTACAAGAAAGAACAAGTTTACTTGATTTAGATTTATCTCGTGCAAATTCTTTTCCAATTGATTATGAGACTGATCTTGAATCTGAATGGTCGAATTTAAGTACGATAGTTTGTTTTTTTTCTAAATTAAATAATGAAAAAGTAATATTTTAAATACAGATTTATTTTCTGATGAAAATGATTTTTCAATTGAAACAATTGAAAAAAATCGAAATATTTATTATCAAAAACAATTAGCAAATGAAATAATGATTCAATCAATTAAAACTATTTCATTATTAACATCTTCATTAAATATTCATATAAATATTGGTCAAAATTTAATAATAAATACATCTCAAACATTTATGTCATTAGAAACAATTCAAATTAATTCTCTTTCAAATAAACAAATTCAACAAGTTGGAAATGCTCGATTTAATATTCCTGAAAATTTTTCTTTAAATACAATTAATAATTCTTCAATTTCACTACGAGTAAATCGTTTTTTATTTTTTTTTATTTTTATTGTTGAATGATTTATTTTTCAGTCAATAATGAAACCACTTGCTTCATTTGGTAATTCAAAATCTAATTCAAATACAAATGTTTCAACATCAATTTCACTTTCAATTCTTGATCAATATGAAAATGAAATTTCTATTGAAACAAATTCAAATAATCGAATTGAATTAATTATTCCTCGTGATCCAAATATAATTATTCCATCAATGATTTTTCAAAATGTAACATCAATTAATTTAACTTCTCATAATCAATTATTTTATTTACAATATATTAATATTACAAATTCTCTTAGTGTTTCAGTTCATTTTGAAATACATCCTTTAAATCAAACTCTTGCTTATTTATTTATTTATAAATTTGATCAATCACCTCACTTAAATAGTTCAATTAATCTTATCGATGGATGGACACTTTTTTGTCCTTCAAGTTAGTTTTTGAATAATAGGCATGTTCCATGAAAAAACTATCTTAAGAAGGGCTGAATGTATCGAGTTGTTCTCTGGTTTTTAAGGGTTTCTCGACGTGCACTTTCTTTTGTTTACAAGACAAGTTTGTCTAAAATTCTCGGAATTAGGTTTTCTAGAAAACCGTGGTTTGGGGACCAATGATCGCAAAAGGCCTTTTGTTTTAACAGTCTATAATGATAGAGTAACGAATTCGCTACAAAATGAGATATTTTCGAGCTTCTTACGACTTTTTTTGGTCGAGTTACATCAATTTTAGTGAAAGGCAAAAGCCATTTTTTCTGCTATTTCCTCTGGAAAAAAACGGCTTTTGCCCTTCACTAAAATTGATGTAACTCGACCAAAAAAAGTCGTAGAAAGCTCAGAGACATTTCATTTTGTAGCGAATTCGTCACTCTATCATTATAGACTGTTAAAACAAAAAGACTTTCGCAACCATTGGTTCCAAAATCACGGTCTTCTAGAAAACCTACTTCCGAGAATTTTAGACAAACGTGTCTTGTAAACAAAAGAAAGAGCACGTCGAGAAATCCTTAAAAACCAGAGGACAATTCGACACGATCAGCCCTTCTTAAGATAGTTTTTTCATGGAACACGTCTATTAAGTTTTTAAATTATCTAATTTTCTAATTGTAGATTTACATAATGAAAGTCTTTATAAATATTTTATTAATAATGAACAAACATCTGGACATCAATCATTAATATTTGGTTTACGAGAATTAAATTCAACAGAAATTTTTCAATTTTGTTTAGAAAATTCTTCAATTATTAATCCACCTATAA